GAGAAAGACAAAGGGTTGATTCTGGTCTCAAACAGCTGCTCCCAGAAGTGCGCAGAGCCCGTGCCGAGCAGATCTCAGTGCACCTCCCGCCTCTGTCCGCTTGTCTTTTTCCTCTCCCTGTGCCCTCCTGCTGCCTGGCCCGAAAGAACGGAGTTAAGGATTGAAATGCTGTAAGACCCCAGCAGGAACCATCCTCCCCAAGCCTGCCAGATCCCTGGATTTACAAGGTAAAATCACAAGAACAGGATTTTATTTTTTTTTCCTCCCTAAAGCTACATCAGCCAGATGCAGCCAGAGCCGCTGCTTTTGTGCCTCTCTGGAGGTTTTTGGCGATGCTAGGAAGGCAGCTCCTCTTGCCTGACACCGGTGCACCGAGTAGGACAGGTCTCAGCTGTTCCCCCCACCAGTTTATTTCGGGGGAAGCAGAAAAGCCTTTGCTTCTCTGGAGGGGAGTAAGAGCTGAGCAAAGCCTCTCGGCATCCCAAGCATTCCCCGTCACAACCCTACAAGGTGGGACTCCCTCTGCACCTCAGGCGGACGACCTCTACCAAGGTCATTCAATTTTTAGGGACAAAGAGTTGTAAACTGGCATCCAGGAGGACAGTCAGGGCTCTGCTCTGCCGATAAGACAACCCCAGCGATGACATTGCGAAGACTTTTGGGCTCAAGCTGGATCTGCAGCATCCACGAGAACATTTGCTCTCTGAAAGGACGAGAGAAGCTAATTCTGAGCCGTCTGCATCCCCCCCAGCCAAGAAAAAGCTTAAAGAGCTTGTTAAATCGTTAGATTGTGGAAATCCTTAAAGGAATAAGCCCATGAAACCAAACACAGTCAATCCTGACATCTTCCTCCATCGAGGGGGCTGGAGAGCCACCACAAAGACACGATGCCACACACGCTCTGCTCGCTCCCTCGAACTGCCCTTGTTGAGCAGTCAGGCTCCCCAAAAAAACGCTCCCCAAAAAAACAATCCCTAAAGTCTGCTAGTTTTCAGAAAAAAAAATCGTGCAAATCTCGTCCTTGAATCCCTGCCGGGTATTTCGGTGCTATTTCTCGCCGTGGCAGACTCGCCAACGCTCTCTCCGAGAGAAAAATGTCCGAGCAAACCCAGAGAACAGGGTGAGAAATTCAGAGAAATCCATCTGCTGGGGGATCCTCCCAGCCACC